ATTTGGAAGAAACTTTTATATGACATTTAGTTCACATGAGAAAGTAGGGTGATATGTTAAACCAAATCTAAACACTATTCTAGCAACATAATAGTACATATGTTTCGGCTTCTCTCATTGTCCCCATTGGAAGAATTAGAACTGTACATGAGGTGTAACAAGCAAACACTCTTACCACGGAGCTATCCCACCATGCCTAAAAGAAGTGTTCTCCATGTGAAATGTCGGCAGTCATACACCCAGGACACCCATTTGACACCCCACACAATAGGAGGATTAAGGAAAAAGGTTGCACAAATATGCAAAGTCTCAACTTGAGACTTTTCCAAATGCATCTGATTTTGATATTTTTTTGTTCTAAAAAATACTTCAATTGCACTCCAAGCTATAAATCTTAATGAACAAGAAAGTTTTCAATGCCTTGCAATTAAATGGATAAATCAAATTTGGATAAAGAAAAATCAGAACAAAAACTCTTAATTTCCTCTTCTGTTTTCCTTTCAATGGTGATTAAAAATGAACCAGGTTTTCACAATCGAAAGCAATATTTTCTTACAATTCACAAATGACTTAATCAATAGGAATCGATCTACATTTTAAACCATGCACTGTTTTCTCCGGCAAATTACCTTCTAAAAACTCCATGACCTTTAACAAATCAGATATTTTCTATTTCCAATTTCAATTTGGTAGTGTTTCTCACCAGGGACAACTCAACATCAAGCTAAAGCATTGAGTCTAATGCAGCATCTTCGCTCGATGGAAATCTCACCCCGAGGGACACAAAATGTCCATGTTTCCCGTGCAGACTAATTTCATAACACATTTTTTGTATGCAGCAGACAATATACTTGTCAATTTCATGTTCATATCGCACTGGAATGTAAATGAAATATACAAATAGTTAATGATGTTGACTGGTACATGACATGGAGTTATTCAAACATGAAGAAAACAGTTCATAATTCATCCATAAACCGTGTAGTATTCATGACGTTCGTAAGTCCTAAATTTCAAATAGGCAATTTTCAGAATTGTGTGTTGTGTTCTAACATTCCAAAAATCAACTTCATGTATGTTTTTTGGTAATACATATTTGTTTATTTACTTCTGATAACACACTTCATTACTACATGTTCTAATATTTGAAGTCATGGCAATGTAACCGATTTGAAAACTGGGCAGTTACATTGTTACAGAGTGTAACTCTAAAATCAACACAGCAAGTGTGTTCAGTTTAATGTTGTTTAAAATGAAGAGTATCCCAGTAATATCAAGGCATGTAAACTTACTGTTGCATTTGGTAATTTACTGTGGCACCTTACACCAAAACTGTATTAAAACAATGGTTCCAATCCTTCCCACTCATCAAGTACACATCATGCCATTCAAATCCCATGAATAAATGTTGGAAAATCTGTGCTGCTTTAAACTTTTCTGGGTTTAAGGCTGTGTTTGTCAAAACCTATGTGCTTATGCTGTATTTACAAGTACCAACATGGTGCTGACACACCTAAGATATAAAACCTATGACCAGCAGATCCTGCTATAGGTAAGGGCTGAAACTCTGTAAATCAAATTAGCCTGTAGTGTCCACTTACAGCTCATACAGATATACATACATACATACAAATAAGAAAAATGATAGATAGACAGATAATATACAGACATCAAATGAAGTATATAGACATCAAATGAAATATACAGATATCAAATAAAATATAAAGATATAAACTATAACAGATATATAATATACAACTCCCACAACACTGACAAATCAAGGTGCTAGCTGAACCATAAAATTTTAAAACAATGGGAGATAACTCTGACAGTTATTCAGCCACCTTGCCCCATAATGGTGTTGAATAAGTTTGACATCCATTCAGACTTCTTGTGCCGAAGTTCAATTAAGAATCAAAGAAACAAATATACCAGTTAAATTGCATACAGCCATGATAGGAGACATTCCTATTCAGTGTTCCCTTCAGAAGATTTGCAGTTCATCCCACTCTTCACCAACGCCTGTCACGCTGTCAATGCTTCAGCCAGATACAACAGAGAGGGATCAGGATGGCAGCGATGTAATCACCCTGCACAGGTCCCATGGGGACACACATTACAGAATAACGTACTCTCATTGTGCTCTTGTAATTAGCTTTTTTACTCGTGCTGGACCTAGCCATCCCTTGACAGAAATCCCTGATGGACATGTTATTAACGAGATGGGTAGTTAATTGTACCATGTGGTCAGTTTCATTCTGCGCTCTGTCAGAACTAAGCTCGATGATATGACAAGCTCAGCGCTTCTGTCGGAGATGAAAGGGATGTTCTCAAAGGAATCGGGATAGTTTTAATGAGAACATGAAAAAACAGAACTGATGGACTTAGAAGTTGGCTCACCAGGTAACGGTGGAATGTGAAAAATGGGTGGAAAAATGTTCCGAACTTCAGCATCAGATGAAATATTGAGAATACTGCTGGAAATGAGGTATGATTGCAGTTGCAACAAGACACTGATGTTCCTTGTAGGTTTTCGAAATGATGAAGTTTATAGACATTGTAAAAGCAGTTATTTTTCTACTGAACCTAATCTAAACATCAACTCTCAGAGTTGTGAGACAGATATGTGACTCTGGAACATTATGACGTCACCCTGGAATGTGTTGACATGAACATACAATGGATGACGTCACATGCTTCTGTGATAACTTAACGCTCCTGTATAGATGAATGTGGGTAGAGTCAAAGTCACGTTCTAAATAATAACCACATGACTTCAAATGCATGAGTTCCATTTTGAGAAGCCAAATGTCACATTATTCAAAACTTTGCCTTTTAAGAAAGTTAAACAGTGAAAAGTATGGGAGATTTTTCGGGTCTCAAATCGCACTTAATCACAATTTTCCTCCAATCATATTGTACCACACTCATTTCACCTTGTATTACTTTTGAGAACATGAGAATAATGTTACAGAGCTCAGAAACTACCAAAGACAGGAGTACTTGGGTCAAGTTGACATTCAAACAGCCACGTGACGTTCCCACAGGACCCCCATTACACTCAACTCCTCCATGGGTATGAGCTACAGGGGACCAATTCTTTCCTTGAAGCCCCACTGGAAGGATTAACTTGTCAACCAACTTCATAGTTCATTTTGATCAATCATTACAGGCCTGTAAAAATGTCATTTCAAAATGGTGGCTTGAAGTGTCTGAGCTTTGACTGCACAGATGGCACTTCAGGAAATATGACTCTTCATCAGAAAGCCATAGCATTTTGATTGTATGATCTCCTAGATGTAATGACACAGCAAGGGCTAAATAAGCCACGGATTTGATTATCAGCTGGCTGTAAGTCGTGTCGGCTTGCCCTACACACAATGTTATCAACATGCGACGTCCCTGGCAAACACAGGATAGGGTTTCCAAGTCACACACTGTATAAAGCTTCTTTTAACCAAATCATTATCATTTTTTTTTACATGTTGATGACAAATCAATTGAATTTTAAAAATTATAACTGCTCATAAACTTGCCATTAACACTTTTAATGTTCATCATAAAAGTTCAAAACATTAATAACGACTGAACGAAATATAGCTTATAAATAACGGTTCATTTGGACAGTTGAATATGTTTTTAAGGACTTTTCTTGGATAGGTAATTCTAAAATCTTCAAAGGTTATTCTAAATGTCAACTGAAAATGAAGTTGTTGATAGCACAGTTTTTTTGACGAGTACACCTGTTACATACAACCCATGAAGATCCCGGTGAAATCTGACCTTCAGAAACTCATTCTTAACATTTGAGGCCACGATTGGATGGTTCGACTCAACTACTGAGCATGTCACCACATTCATATTGAGTAGATAAACACTCAGGATGTCAATCACTGGATTATCTGCTTCAGACTCGATTATTATTAACAGATCTCCATTAAAAAGCGGTAATATGGCTGAATACAGTGTCAGACAACGAATCTTTTACTTCCAGTGCCACGATCAAGGCACATCATTCAAGACGTTAACAGTATTCCAGATAAGAATAACTCATAACTTTCCACATCTTAATAATTAACCACATATGGATTAAACTCTTATCTATGATTACAAATCACAAAATCAATATGATATTTGGTACTGCTTCAATAAAAAATGATTCAAAATGCAGTGACATTTCACTGATGACAGTTTATAGTTGTTTGTGTTAAAAAATAATGGATGAATATATATGACCTCAGTAAGTATGTACCAGCATGGTTTGGGTGGCAATGAGTGAGTGATGGAGAGGTCTTTTAAGGTGGGTGAATGAGTGAGTGAGGAGAATTAATGAGTCAAAGATATACAGATGTCCTGGTAAATGACGTAATTAGATTGTTGGCGTGAAACATTAATAGCTCTGGATCAGTGCCCCTTTAAGGAGTCGAAGATACACAGCTGTCCTGGTAAATTAATGACGTAATTAGATTGTTGGCGTGAAACATTAATAGCTCTGGATCAGTGCCCCTTTAAGCAGTCGAAGACATACAGCTGTCCTGGTAAATGATGTAATTAGATTGTTGGCGTGAAACATTAATCGCTCTGGAACAGCGTCCCTCTCAGGAGTCGAAGATATACAGCTGTCCTGGACAGTTGCAGGAACAGGTCTCAATGACATGTCGGCCATCAACACTCAACATATGTCCTAAAGTCTTGATTTAATCACAGTATATCAGTATATAATCAGTATATCTCTAAGTATATCTGGATAGTGTACCGTGTGTACAAATGTATATGTTGGCATGATTCTGACACAGGTTTAAAAGTGAAAAAAGACAGAAACGACAGTCACATAGCTGCCTCTTAACTTGGTTTGAAGAAACCTTCTCCTGACTGAAGACACATCTTGAGGAAACTAGCTGATGTCATGGAATCAACTGTGTGGCACATGTAAGCCTCGCAGACCTAAGACAGGGAAAATAATACAAAACAGAAGGTATAAAAGAGTTGGATTAACTTACTGTAGTCTTCATCTGACATGAAGTTGACATCGTTGTAGTCCACCTGGGGGTTGGGCGTGGTGATGTCGTATGTGGGGTTGGATGCTGCCAGACTCTCATGGTTCTGTGAGATGAGGCCAGGTTGCCCCATCAGTGTTGCATTTGCCTGGGCTGAAGACAGAAAGTCACACGTCAACATTTGGAGTTCTTTAGTGAATGCTGTTCCATGTATCAGAGACTAACATCATTGCTATAATGGGAATCAGAAAAACAAGTGACGAAAAAAGGCATTCAGCGAACCTGTTCTGCCCTGGAACCCCTACTGAAACACTAATCTGGCAACCTATTCTCATCCAGAAAAGACATGCTGGTTGATATTTTGACCTACCATGCCTTCAGATCCTCATGGGTGCACATGCACTGAGATCCATGTGAACTCGATGGGCTAAATCATCCATAGAAGATTGACTGACTGACTGACTGAGTTAGGTTTTACGCCACTTTTAGCAATATTCCAGCAACATCATGGCGGGGGACACCAGAAATGGGCTTCACATATTGTACCCATGTGGGGATTCAAACCCGGGTCTTTGGCGTGACGAGCCAACCTTTAACCACTAGGCTGCCCACCGCCCCTCCACAGAAGACAGGACACAGAGATGTCACTCTGATAATTCCCTGAAAAATACACACGTAGGAAAGACATTTCCTGGACTTATTACGTGATGCAAGCCAATGAAAAGACAAGCACCAAGTGCCATGGGCAGGCAGACACTGAGAAGCATTGATAGACCAACAAGGACAGCCATGGGACCTTGCTTATATTACCCATAGAGAAGAAAAATACTATAATTAGTATTTCCAGAAATCGTTTTACAAAATGTGTTTGTATAAGACTATTTACATTAAACAAAGAATCAGACAATCACCACAAAGACATTTTGAATGATTACTGATAAATAGGTGTATCAAAGGTGAACAGAATCTGTGAAATATGCTCTCTGAATAATATTTATAATATAACTCCACACCTTTTATTTCAATAATCACATTAAAAAGTAAACATAAAAACTTAAACAGCTAAATGCAACCATCACCCACAACTTTGTGTTTTACTTTGCCAAGGGAGTCAGTGTCAGTCAGTCAAAGGGAGGCTACTCTGTGCTACTCAGTCTTCCTGAAGCGTCACATGAGAAGGCACATAGACCTACACATATTTCAGTATCTGTTCCAAATTATCAATCAAAGGTATGTTGCTTAGCTAATTAAATTCATAGTGAGCAGTGCTCACGGCAATATTAATCAACCCCATATCTTTCTCCATGTTGATTGATACTGGTCATCAGGTCAATAAATAAGACATATTTCATACAGCCTTCACAATTTTAGAATGAATTCATTTCAAGAAACGCCACACAGTCAACTGGATAAGAAATGAGGCCCAAGAGATAAGAAACTTCAAAGGTGTCCTAAATTGCCTATTACCCCTGGGGGTTGTAAATCTCGTTAAAATCAATGATCATGATGGGTGTGAAAGATAATTTAGGAGAAATGGCTCATTTCTTTTAACGCTTACAAGAAATCTACTTCACATCAGAATCTAGAAAATTAAAATGATATAGGTCACATCAGCCAAGATGCAGGAGAAAATGTAGGGCAAACAAAACTTGTCAGTATTAAAGACTGGTAATTTATAATGGGATGGGCTCAGACAGGAACAGCGTAGGTTCACCAAATACATGACAGTCCCTAGGGTAGGATTAAAAAATATACACATATTCATGGAGGATCGTGCAAATACTGCCAGAAAATGAGTAGGGTATGGTCCTCAATTTATGCATGTGGGTTAGTTCGACGTTGTCAGGTCGAGAACATACCCTTATGTGTAAACTAAAAATAATTCAATTCAAAATATTCAAAATACATGCTAAATTACTGTCCACATGTTATACAAGTGCACAGTGTTTGTGAGCCAACAATAGTCACGAGGGCTTGTTTCTATGTGATCATGTGCATTCAAAAAAACATCTTCAAATAAAATTGAATAAACATGAGCATGCGTGATCATTCTTCAGCTAGCATTCATCTGATTTTGTTTTAAAATAAAATATGAAATCATTTTGCATATGGAGAGTCATGAAAATATGTTCAGGTCATGGGGCGGGGTCATCTAAAATATGACCAACATTAGTAAATGATAAGTTTGGTCTGTACAGTAGTGTATCAAAAACCTCTAAACAACCCATTCACCCATAACATATCCTTAATCTGTGGTTTTCATACACAACAAACCATTGAAACTGCAGACAAAATGTATCTAATGGGTCATTCTTAGTAACTTTGTGGTACAAACTGTCAGACAGAGTTTTTACTTCTACGTTTTAATAATTTTCTGAATTCTACAAAGGAAGTTCCATCATGATCACAGAGTGCGGACTATAAAATCCAATGATTGACATCATGATCAGAGAGTCCGGACTATACAATCCAGTGATTGACATCATGATCAGAGAGTCCGGACTATACAATCCAATGACTGACATCATGATTACAGAGTCCGGACTATACAATCCAATGGTTGACATCATGATCAGAGTCTGGACTATACAATCCAATGATTGATATCATGATCACAGAGTACGGACTATACAATCCAATGATTGACATCATGAACATCATCTCCACAGATCATCATTATATAACATGTGTCAACCAAGTCAGGAAGCCTGACACCCAATCCCGTTAGTCGCCTCTTACAAGAAGCATGGGCGGAAGACCAATTCTAACTCGGATCTTCGCAGGTTCAAGGGGAAGTACCAGCATCCTATCAACAACAGCTGACTTTTCCAACTTCCTGTACAGTCTCTGTCCGAGTGACATACCATCAAGGAACTACCAAGTATGATTGGCAGTTGACACCGTATCCGTAATCTGACGAATCAATGCTGGCCTACATTCTGCTATAACCTTCATCTTAGGATAGATTACTGCTTAAACTCTTGGCTCCTCACACTGTCCTGACCCAGATCTTCGTAAATCTCCCAGCTGTCAATTAATGTCCGTTTAAAATGAACTAAGTGAATTTGATATGGTTCCATGGGCAAAATTGGTTTGTCAAATTATATCAAGGTAGCTCTAAACCCCCAGGTCATGTTACCACAGTCCATGGAATAATTGTGTCGATTAAGTGTACGGTGAAAGGGTATGGTTCTAATGGCTTTGGTCGTTAGTGAGAGCAAGTAATATGAAATTGGTGAGACTCAGAAATTGGTATGAGATGACAAACCAAGCTATCTGATCGGGGAGATTCTTGGATTCAATCCCAAAACCGCACAGTAAATTGAGGTTCCTTTGACCTTTGTGCGAAACATACACACACCCAAAGAAAAGTGTGAGGCTGTGGGGTGTGAGTTCAGCTGGAGTGAGTGAGTGAGTTTAGTTTTACGCTGCTTTAAGCAATATTCTAGCAATATCATGGCAAGGACACAAGTTTAGCTGGTGCCACTCCAACACATGTGGGGACAAAACACTAGCATGTACTTGAATAGAACAGAAAAGCCTTCAGTGAATTCAGGACTGTGGTCAGTCAATAAACAACAAGATTCAACAATTCACAGATGCTTTTCCTCTATGGTGAAACATGGGTATGATGCTGACAAAGCAAATCTGGGCAAAGAAGCCTTCAAACTACCAGGCATCACTCTACACAGCGTATTGTGGTATCTAGACCACTAGGCCCTGTAACCACACAGTTGGTACTGAGCGATTCTGGATGATTACACTGATTTAACAAGACATGGTGCAGACTACCAAAACATATGTCTGGAAAGACAGAAAAACTATTGCAGCAAGTAGCTTTCTATCCCAAATCACGCCTTTGTGTGTTATTTCTCCAAAGAGCATGAAAATGCATTAGATGCAATATAAAGTCTGCCAAACAGGTACCGATTATGGAATCAATTTAGCCCCGAAGCTACAAATTGTACCATCCTGCCCAGTGGATGTAGTTTACCCTGGCCAAGGCTCTACCTCCCTGTCTCCGAGCCATCTAGCGAAACAATACCAGACATTACCAGTCAAGAAAAAATTAGTCCTCACGGTTCCTATTGATTTTGCTACGTCCGCCAAATGACCGAATGCAACTGATGTCTTATCTAGACAGGGTGTGAGTGATCGACCTGGTTCACCACCTTGATTGAAATCAGGACTGTGCATCAGCAACCAGGCTATCACACTGGCCCACTAGACAACAAACGTGCCCCAGTTTGCTCTCTCATTACCGAACCCTGTCAAACTCTTTGCTCAAAAGATCAAAGGGCCAAAACAAACTTCTTACTCTCAAAGTTATTTTTTCACTCATCTTGTCCATGTTGATCTTGCCCAAACCCTTTTATAGTCCGACGATTCTTTGGTAAATTAGAAATTTCAGAAGGCATGGGTTGGGAGTTCATTCTTTGAAATTTCTGACGTGATCGGAAATTGTGATGGATGCCAAGGTCAAGGCCTTGGTTGAGATTATTGGTGGTGGGTGGATTGATGATTGATGGTGGGTTGATGGATGTGGTAGATAAGGTGTGTGATAGGGCTGACCTGGCTGGCCCCAAGTGAGGTGTAGATCCTCCCAGTGTGTGTAATTAAAGTGAGGGGGTCGTATCACTGCCCAGCTATCTAAGATTGAAGCTACAAATTGTTTTCGCCAAGTGGAAGAATGATGAGAGCTCCAATATAACCTGAACTCAAGTAACCCAACTCAACTTTAAACAAATCAGACATCAGAGTATAACATTAGCAATATTTAACTTGAGCCGCCTATCTGCTGCAATGGTCTTCATGAAAGTTTCTCTTGAGTCGTGTTTCTGCACTTTAAGCATTTTTCTCAAAATCACAATCAAATTATTGAGCTAACTATTGGAATTCGCTCTAACAGTTTATTAATTACAAGACAGCAGTTTTAAAGGCTAGAACATTTCTTTATTTGCTGTCCAATTTCTATTCAAGTTAGATGACAGCAGTCTGTAAATAGTCAGACCTGAACAATCCAGTGTTATGATCAACACTCTGTATTGATGAAAAAAACCAAGTTACTGGGAAATGAGTAAGTAAGGATTTACGCCACTTTGAGCAATATTCCAGGAATATCACGGTGGGGGACACCAGAAATGGGCTTCACACATTGTACCCATGTGGGGAATCAAACCAGGGCTTAGGCATGACGGGTGAACACTATAACCACAAGGCTACCCCACTGCCCCTTCATTGTGAATATCATAGATGTTTCCCACTAATGAAAAATCTGCAGGCACTGGTATGGTGCTGACATGCTCAAACTTATTGTCAAGACCAATGTTGGGCATTATCTTGGAATTGCAAAGTAGCACAACACAACACAGTATGACGCATTCGACCAAACACACACTTGTGCCACTTCACCCGACTGTGAGAAGAACTGGAGTTGGCTGATACTGGATATAGGCATGAGTGAGTGAGTTTGGTTCACCTCTGCTCTGAACAGAATTTTACTTATATCATTGCCTGTCAGCTTTACTTAGAGAGAAAGCCCTCAGATGTTGATGCCTACAACCTTGATGAAATCCACATGTTCGGTTTTGACAAAAGCTATAAATATCATGATGAGAATCATCTATTTGCACCAACAACCATAGGTTCCTGGCACACTCAAGGGATGTAACTCTGCACTGCTGTAAACCCACAGATGACCTCTATCTGTACTCACCCAGGTACTGTTGTAGCTTCTCATACTTGGGTCCATGTCGGTACCGGACGAGCTTCAAGTGGACCAGCTGCCCTGTTTTACGTAGCACCTCTACAGCCTGGTGGTTGGAATAGCCTTGGAGAGACAGGCCATCCACCTAGGGTTAAACACAAGGTCCTGACTCACACTGTACTTCTTGTACACTGTACTTCTAGCACTATGGCTGAAGGACTACATTCACAGTGCTCAGAGCACTTTGCAATAAATCAAATATAATAATAAGTGTCAGTACATGGTATGTCATGGAGTAAATACTTTTATCATGAGTTGGTATATTTGATATTAAAAGACAAAAGGGTGAGATTCAATTTATCATCCAAAAACATTCTTCTGACGTTTTCAGTTTGAAATCAGTAGTGACTCAAGCATACAAAGAACAGCTGACCAGCTTCAGTGATAAGAGAAAAGTGATGCCTTTTGACTGTGACATCATGGTAAGCATTGATATTGCAATACCAAATAAACACTGCTTGATCTCACCCATGTAATTTGTCTTGTAAACCAGTTTTGGATGATAACATGCTCACATATCCAACATTACCAGAGCTTCCTCCTGTTTAAAGGACATACATTGAAATAGTGAGTGGTACTTTGCCCTAGTGGTCAAGATCTTCCTGAAGACTGATGGAATTACATATCTAGATTCATGAGATGCTGACTAGCATAAATCCCGTTTCCTTTTGACTGTGTGACACTCTGTCTCACCTCTATGATCTGATCATTGACTTGCACTCGGCCGTCCACTGCTGCAGCACTGCCGTCAGCGATACCCTTCACAAAGATGCCAGACACCTCATCTGAACACAGAAACATTATTGGAGTGAGTGAGTGAGTGAGTGAGTGAGTGTTTCAACTACAGCAATACTAAACTGTCTAAAACAATTTAAAAAATATTGGCCCATGTAAAACCCAAAGACAAGGTTATTGATACATTTTAAGAGAATAAATGTACAGCTATCTATGGCTGTGGTTTAACACTGGTTTGATTACACTCTCCTAATCAGAGTTCCATGAGTCTAACCATGTCGCGATTCGGCACATCTTACACAGTCCACTCAAGATATTGTACATGCTTTTCATCTGATTCATTTTAGTTTACACATATAGATAAACATGGGATGTAATGTTGACTTCACAGACAAAATATCCTGTTTCCAATTGTGTAGTTATCCTTTGTTTATCATGGTTGATGACAATCAGGTATTCTCGCATTCAAATCTCTGTGTAACAAGAATGCCCATCAGAGTCAGATAACCTCTGTTTCAGTGTCAGACAACAGTGTAATGTATGATGCTAGAAGAGAGGACTCACCTGGTGTGTTGTCGCCTCCGACGTAGCCTGCGATGGTGATGCCGAGCCCATGATTGTCTTTGGTCAGATCCACATCAAAGATTTCTACCTCTGGTACCTCATTCATATCATATGGTTGCTGCAAGATAGGATTGTTCTGCTGATTATCAAACATCTTCTTACTCCCATGAAACATGATATACTTGGTATGAGAAGTATTATCAGAATTCAGTTATAATGGAAACAATTGCAACAACTTTAATTTCATTTTCATATTTCATGTATTATATATCTATTCTACCATTACTGAAACCTCTTAAGCCACATCAGTCAATCCATGGCATATCCAATTTCTTTCCACTTTGAATGCCATGATGTTGCTGTGTTAGTGTGATCTTACAGGAAGCACCTGCCCAGCCATGATGTTGCTGATGTTATCTGTGTCAGTGGAAGCTTACCGGGTGGACCTGCACCTGCCCAGCCATGATGTTGCTGATGCTATCTGTGTCAGTGGAAGCTTACCGGGTGGACCTGCACCTGCCCAGCCATGATGTTGCTGATGTTATCTGTGTTAGTGAAAGCTTACCGGGTGGACCTGCACCTGCCCAGCCATGATGTTGCTGATGTTATCTGTGTCAGTGGAAGCTTACCGGGTGGACCTGCACCTGCCCAGCCATGATGTTGCTGATGTTATCTGTGTCAGTGTAAGCTTACCGGGTGGACCTGCACCTGCCCAGCCATGATGTTGCTGATGCTATCTGTGTCAGTGGAAGCTTACCCGGTGGACCTGCACCTGCACCAGCCTGCACCTGATGATGTTGCTGATGTTATCTGTGTCAGTGTAAGCTTACCGGGTGGACCTGCACCTGCCAGCCATGATGTTGCTGATGTTATCTGTGTCAGTGTAAGCTTACCGGGTGGACCTGCACCTGCCAGCCATGATGTTGCTGATGTTATCTGTGTCAGTGTAAGCTTACCGGGTGGACCTGCACCTGCCCAGCCATGATGTTGCTGATGTATCTGTGTCAGTGTGCTATGGACCTGCCATGATGTTGCTGCTATCTGTGTCAGTGTAAGCCTACCGGGTGGACATGTACCTACTCAGCCATGATGCTGCTGATGTTATCTGTGTCAGTGTAAGCTTACCGGGTGGACCTGCACCTGCCCAGCCATGATGTTGCTGATGGACTGTTCCTCCTGCATCCTCATGTCCAAGTTCTCTTGGGAGTCCATGGCCATGATAGCATTGATCTGATCCAGGTGATCATCAAGGAGATGGGTGGGGACGACTGGGGCATGGGGGATCTGGAAGGGTGGGGGCTCCATCACTGACCGGGCAACAATGAGACGGACATGGCTCCCAGACTGCCGGAGAACCAGGGCCACCTGTTCTGACCCCATGCCCCGAACATTCACCTCTCCAATCTGAAGGATGTGATCTCCACTTCGCAGTCGTGTGTCCTGAAATGAAATAGAATACTTCTGAACTCAGTATACATCACATATTACCAAAACAAACAAAACTTCATCTGATCTTGGAGGATTCCCTTTTCACAGCATGTTGGCACAAAACAAACTGACAATAATTCCCCTCATGTAAATGTAAAAGTGTTTCTACTCAATCTTCCTCCAAATCCCGAGGATCCACAATTTCCCTTCAGCATCCTCTGAAGCTGCCCTCTTTGTTACTCTGCTGACCTTACAAACTGCTGTGGGATTGAAGGACACACATTTCAGTAAGAATCACAACACCAGTGCCACCCCAGGCAGACAGTGGGCTTTGTGGAATAAGGTGAGCTCGTCCAGCACTGATGATGATGATGATGATGATGATGATGATGATGATGATGATGATGATGATGATGATGATGAGTCGGTGAGTATCATCTTTACACTTTTAGAAATAATCCAGCAATATCATGGCGGGGTTCACCAGAAATGGGCTTCACACATTGTGCCCATGTGGGGAATCGAACCCGGGTCTTCGGTGTGATGAGTGGACGCTTTAACTGTTAGGCTAGCCCACCGCCCCTGATGATGATGATGATGATGATGATGATGATGTGCACATTATGCACCAAATTTACTCCCTACAGCAAGCTCAAACAGCTACATTATTACCCAGATTGAATTTCTTCACTTATCTTCACCCTGAGTCGTATATATCACCAGCTGCATGTAAGTGGCTAGAATGCTGTTACCATCTCACCCAATCAATACCAAAGGTAAACTGTCCTGGTATTCCATATCCATCTAATGTACACAAGGAAGATAAAAAAAACAGAGTTACTTAAGTAATAAAAAACCCAATTAACTTGAAATAAAACCTGCAAGGATGCAATTTTCTTCCTGTCTGTGAAGGTTCAGCACCTCCGTTATAGTACAGAAAAATCCTACGGGTAATTACTTTATGGAACCGCCAATGAAAAAACTTTTAAACAATTAGATTTCTTTCAAGACTTCAATTTACTTCAACCGTTTTTTCAACTTTAATTTCAAGATGTCTGGTTCTGTTTGGCATGAACGGGCTTGGCATTTCTAAGTCCATATCCTACTTTTTTCATCTTCAATCTTGCTTTCAGTGCAAAACTCCAAGCAGTCAATTTTCACAAAGGACAAAATCAGTTCACTGAGCAATCTGTAGACACCCTTGGATTAAAAATGGCAATGAAGTTTCAATTTGATCTCATTTATACCAAAGTTGGAATCAAACACTGAATGTTGTACCTCACAACATGTTACTGCTCAATGAACCTGTCAATAACATCATTGGTGCCTTGTTTCTTTAATTGGACAAGACACAAGATAAAAATGGTTTTAAGGAACATGACTGGTTCACAGGAATCCCACCAACTGACAGTTTATGTACACAGATGCCTCGAACAGGTTCTTTTTGAACAAAATATACAATAAAAATAATTTAATGCATCTGCTTTATCCGTATAATTTGAACTAATTTACTGCCCCAATATGTATGCAACTATAGTGAAAGAGTGAGTGAAAGAGTTGAGTTTAATGCTGATTTGAACAGCTACTTGAAAACATTAACCAATAAACCAGCAGTTGATAGCATGGGCAACCATCCACAAAGCCAAGCAACAATGGCACTTTGGAAATCTGATGTCAACTTTGCAACAACACAGGCTTAGGGACTGAGGACCTTTCACGTCATGGACACATTTCAGAACAGCTGTCCCTTTAATGAATTACACATAATTGTAACATACTGACTGGGTGAGTTTGAGTTTCGCAGCTTTTAGCAATATTCCATCAACATACAGGTGGGAAATACCAAAAATGGAATTCAACCATTTTACGCATGTTGGAAACCAAAGCTAAGTCTTTAATGAGACAAGCAAACACATTTACCACTAGGCTACCACATCGACTCTAAATCAGAGGAAGTCCCCAGAAAACCTTAACTTGCTCTTTCCAAGGATACACCAACACTGATGTGAACCCTCTCTGCAAACACAACCCTGGCAACCCTGGATATTCTGGAGGGCTTCTACAGGGGAAGTCTCCATCCCAGAGCTGTCTTCATCAATCTTGGGTCAGCACCTGATTCGTAACTTAGATAAATACCCAAGCTTCAGAAAACAGCTGGCAAATATTTAGCTAAGAAACAGCTTTGATCTTTTGATGATATTCCCAATCACTCTCTGATGGCAGTGTTTTCAGTCATAATCACACAGCACACACAGCAGCTTTAGTACAGAGGTTTGTGTCAACACTCCAATAACAAGGCAGTTAATTGCTCCACTATAGCGGGTCATCTGACCCACAATCAAGCTTCACCTCAACATCTAATCATGGAGGTCTTTACCATTTCTCCAGAGCTATTTTAGAAATAGTGGTGATTATTTGTGATTAACTTGTATATGTCATTTATTGGCTGTGGAACTATAAGAAGTGTAATTTCGGTTAACTATACATAAACATTATCGTGAGTACAATTATAGATCTCTGAAGACTGGACTTGATTGTGTTTGTTGTTCTGTAATGATACATTTTTATCAAGAGAGAATGTACGCCTGCTGTCACCAGTATTCCTGTCATGTCAAGCCAAGGGACTGCCAAAATGAGAATTTTGCCAACATGAAAGCAGATTGTTAACTACCATAGGCCAACCCAGCAACCTCTTCAAAAAGAAAGGACAAGCTTGAAAGTGATGGCAATGCTTGTAGTCTGTAGTAATGACAGCTATGCATCTGAAAATATCATATCCTTACGCACAAAATGATCAACATTACCGCCACTTGGGTTAGTAGACCATCATGCATTCAAATGATTGATGTTTATATTAATATTTCTTTGTACATGAACTTGAACATGTAATAAATCAGGACAGTCAGACAGTCCACAGATCAATTATGTGGGCTACACGTGCTGTCAAGGTATGATTACACACAATCAACCGAGCCAAGTCTCAACACTCAATCCATATGTTTTAAAATTAAGTCGCCCCTACAACCAGCAGAAACAATGCTCTGGACATACTCTAACCCAGAATCCAAAAGGAGGTATGATTAGCAAAACAGTGACCACAGTGATCGAAAATATTGGTGCACGTACAACTTTTGAGTGAGTGAGTGAGTTTAGCAATATTCAAGCTATATGGCGGCGGTCTGTAAATAATCGAGTCTGGACCAGGCAATCCAGTGATCAACAACATGAGCAGCGATCTATGCAATTGGGATATGATGAAATGTGTTAACCAAGTCAGCGAGCCTGACCACCCGATCCCGTTAGTCGCCTCTTAAGACAAGCATGGGTTACTGAAGATCAATTCTAATCCGGATCTTCACGGGTAACACTTTTTGAGGAGAATGACCTGTTTCATAGAGTACAGTTCATTTTAATATTTCAAAAGAAGAAAAAACACTAAAATGCAATTTTAAGTTCAGAGTCTTCACTGAAAGCAAACACGACACTGCTGATATATTGTATTTTGAGATGACAAATCTGCCTTCAAAGAAGACCAAATATTCAAAAATCAACCAACACATCAGATACTGTAACAATTTGTGTCTCTTGTCAGACATGCCTCAAAACAAACACGTTGAAGCTGACATCCTGACAACTACTGATCAATGGTGGGAACTTGAACTGATCATGTTTGCCAGCTCACACTAAGTTCCTTTATCCCTGCCATTCACAACCAATATTCACTGCTCACAATTCCTCACTTTGTGTACTCGGTCTGAAAGCCCAGAAAACATTCACTGCAATCCCAAAGTAATTGAAGCCTGCATGCATGTGAGCCTCAACATTGCCTAGTTGTCAGGAAAGTACTCTAAATGACACGTATTAGAAAACCGAACAAATCCGAAAAACTCTTCAGGGTCTTTGACCTGGAAGCCTGATCTAATGTATGTTATTCTGAAGATTGTAGAGGGAACAGGTCTTTTCCATTTTTGTATTACGCATCTTAATATCTCAACACTGGCCACTCACTAGGACAACCTAGTGCCTAAAGATTAGAGCTACAAGTCCTGTAAAAGTTTCAATGGAATCAGGCTGGACCAATAATGTTTGACAAATAACTTTTAAAAATTAATAAGTGATTCAAATGATTCCATTGAAGTCCAACGTAATCTCCATACCGGAGGATTACTATATGAAGACCGTAGTCTATTTCTGAATAAGACACAAAGTAACTCGGTTTATGGATCACAACTCAAAATCGTCTTATGGACTCAAACATTTCAAGCTGTTTGTTCTGACTGACCTATAAATATGTCAATGAATACATGAAGTCAGTTGTATCATTAATATCAATATGAAAGGACTAAAATATGTGGTCCCACTATTACAGCAAAGCTGCAGTGAGCATTGTCAAAGGGTCGATAAAACATTAGATAGACTTGGCATTTTCAGTGCTTTTAAATGCATTCATTTTTTTGAACTGCCTCTTATATTTCTTTTGGAGTAAAGCTGCTGTTCCATATCCTACTGAGGCTACAAAAAACGTATCTTCTATCAACACTTCATAGCTACAGAAGGTGATCATTGTCTGCAGAACTGGAAACAAGATAGTTGGATCAAGATCTTTTGTCTTTTCAAAAAAGCTTCATTTTTGCCGATACTTGATCTTGACAGAGAAAATAGTCCAGGAAGTATTACAAATACCAGCACTTCAGTCTTGAATCAAGGAACTACAATCAAAGCCAAAAAGAAATTAATTTCTGAGATCCCTGCTTTGAATTTTGCTTTGACTCATAACCAAGGTGCTCTGTTGCAAGAAACTGACTTATGCTGGCATCACTTACTGGTCATGCCTCTCTTGACTTCCCTCTGTAGAAAAACATGATAGGCCAGAAGTCTGTCATGTGCTTCTTGTCCTTCGTAGGGCATCATATAATGGACATATGGTAGATCAGCCTCCAGCTTCACCTCCTCATAAGGACTATGACTATCTTGTAATAAGACGAGAAGTGGACACAAGGAACACATTTGTCATGCATTCCAAATCATTGTGGCCATATTGTGGCTAATTACATTTGGTAACCCAAATTGGCCTTTGTTGGTGGCCCAGTTGTCATGTCCATGGTATGCCAGAAGCTATGACCATGTGTTTGAATCCTAGATTCACCCAGATTATATTTCAAGGTTTGTAGTGAGTGAGTCAGTGAGTTTAGTTTTACGCCACTTTTAGCAATATTCAAGCAATATCACAGCGGGGGACACCAGAAATGGGCTTCACACACTGTACCCATGTGGGGAATCGAACCTGGGTCTTCGGTGTGACGAGCAAACGCTTTAACCACTAGGCTACTCTACCTCCCACTCTAGGTTTGTAACCCCCAAACCATGCTCATGTGTTTAACCAGATAAAGCGGTCCTAAGACCTGCATCACTTCAGCTTGCTCCCAAATCAAAATGACACCACGCCTGACAAACAAGCTGACATACAACTAAAATTATTAATATTTTCAATGTGGAGTTAAACAAAACTTGCCAACTCGCTCATTTCAATATGAATCAAGGTCAGTTGCAATAATCCTTCATATGAGGGTCAAACAAATCTAATATATATACCCCACTCCTCTTTTAGTAGTTGGTACATTTCCCTTTCCCTTCCATCATCGTCAGATGATAACATCAAACGGAAAAAAAGCATTATATTTGTCTTAACGAGAAGATTTCTTTTTGCATGACTTTAGAGTATGCACACATACTTGGTTCAAGAGAAAGATTAAGGAACGAAACTATAAAGCCATAAATGTCTTATCAAGCCAGTGCAACATATTAGCCTCAAGTACTCTTCAAAAGGAAGTGACCTCTGTCCGAGGACACAATAGAAGATGAGTTTCACTCTTTAGACACTGATGCTGTGCTGAGAAATAAATGTGGCTTGACATCTGGTGGCGGAGGAGACAGCCAGATCTAAACGCCATCAAATAATACAATGTAATTATAGAACTTTCATCACATGCTCTGATGGAATTAAAGAGCCATTAAGACTGTAATTACTGGAAAAGGCAGAGATCTTTCTGATCGACCTCTGCCTAGACTGTTCAAGTGAAAAAGACAGATTCGAGGCATTTCAAAATGGCCGCTAATGCCGTCTGCTACAAAAGTGAAATGAGGTACCATGAGGGTCAGAATTCTGTCAATCACAAGTGTGTGATTGAATATTATCCTGGTTTAATAAAGGAACAGTAACATTGATGTTTGAATCTTGGAACATGCTAATTGAAGGGCACAATTTAAAACCATGGATCACTGAATTTAACAGAAAACAATTATCATCTCAATACATAAATATCTTTTGAAATAATTTTCATACTTAGATGAGCAAAAATTAGAAATAATTTTAATCTTAACATGAATTCATAGTTTTTTGTCAAAAAGGGTTGTTGTAAAGATTAATTTGTGTTGATATATCTGTCTGAAACAACGGTGTGTGTAAAAAATCTATATCACAGCGGTGTCAGAAAATCTGTAACAGTGGTGTGCGATAGATTTGGCTGAAAGACAGATATGTGTGATAAATTCCTGTTAACCATGGTAAATCTGTCTATGATACAGTTGTGCATGATAAATTTGTAACAGATAAGTGTGATAGATCTGACTGCAACAACACAGTGGTGTCTGTCTGTAACAGTGGCGTGTGTAACATTTCCCTGTAACAGTCATGTGTGATAAATCTGTAACAGTGATGAGCAATAAATGTCATCCGGGATATGTGATATATTTAATTACAACACAATGGTCGTGATATATCTGACTGCAATCATGCAGTGGCATAACTAACTGTAACAAAGTGGTGTGTTGTGTCTCTCACTGTAATAGAATGGTTTGTGACACATCTTACAAAAACGCTGGTGTGATATATCTGAATGTAATACACTAATATTGCAGATACATCTGAGTGTCCCATATATAATCTCTGATGGCAATGCAAATGTGCATATATATGACTATATGGCTATGGCAAATCATTACCGACATATCTGACGGTGGCATGTGGAACTGTAAACTAAACTTATAGTGTTTACTCTGCCAACCAGCGTGACTAGTGCACTCACCACATCAGCAACACCTCCAGGCAATATAGTCTTGACAACCACCCTGTGCTTCGTCCTCCAATGATTCCAAATCCAAGGCCTGTTCCATCATTAATAAGATCAATAACTTCAATTTGGGTCCATTCGGTGCTTAGCTGAAAGGAAAGAAAAAAAACTTGTTGAAAAAACAAAGTACAAAACACGCTTGTCAGACATACAAAAGAAAGAACATAGCAGTACACACAAAAGATGACATTTCCTCATTCTACCTGTCACTTAAGGGATTTGCTCTCTGGAAGCACTGTCAATTAATACCATTGTATCCAGGGTAGACAATACGATATAAAATTGTGTTCCTTATGCCTGTTAAGAGAATAATTTACCAAACATTTTGCTATACTGCTCACAAACATTTGAATCTGTTTTAGCAGGTATTAATGGTTGTGCCATTATGGTGCTGATGTTATAAATGTAAATAATTTCAGGTTAGTTTTCAGATGACAACAAAAGTACTACTTTCAGACTTTCAACTGTCTGAATGACCTTCTTGAAGAATAACCATCACACAATTACAAAATACCACTCTTGCTGTCTTAGGCTTCACCATTTGATCATAAACTAATAATTAGTGCATTAATTAGTTCACACACTACTTTAACCATCCATAGACATGCATACTTGCAAACTTCACTATTCAAGGAACATTGCTGCAGTTCTGCTTCACAACAAAGTGTTTCAGAAAGCTGAAAGTTTGATTGACAGTGAACAGAATATGATTCGATGATCATTTCGCCAATTAAATGGCTGCACCCAGAGATGATTAGTTCTGTTAGCATGGATTCATATCATGCATCGCTACTGAGGGAGAACAATTCCTGGAGTTATTCCATCCTCTAGACATACATAATTCCTTGTTTGTCTTGGATGATGCTGGTAGAATTGGAAATGACAGATTGTTAAGCCAGGGTATTATGACCAGATTAGCTGGGTAGAAATTGCCAGGATTTGCAGCACTCCTACATAGCAGACACACTGAGACAGCATACGAGACACACTTCCAGCTGGCAACATACCAGTGAGTGAGTGAGTGAGTCAGTGCAACATTTAAGCAATATCATTGCTGGGGACACCAGAAATAAGCATCATACCCATGAGGGGAATCGAACCCGGGTCTTCAGCGTGATGAGCGGAATGCTTTAACCACTTCTCAGTGATGATCAGTGACACATGAACAGGAGCATGTTTGGTTGAAGCACATGCTCTGAGCAAGAACATGTTCAGGTGAAGCACATGCTCAAAACAGGAATATGTGCATGTGAAGCACATGCTCTGAGCAGGAACATGATCGGTTAAAACACATGCTCTGAGCAGGAACATGTTTGGTTGAAGCACATGCTTTGAGCAGGAACATGATCAGTTGAAACACATGCTCTGAGCAGGAACATGATCAGTTGAAACATGCTCTGAGCAGGAACATGATCAGTTGAGGCACATGCTCTGAGCAGGAACATGATCAGTTGAAGCACATGCTCTGAGCAGGAACATGATCAGCTGAAGAGCAGGAACATGATCAGTTGAAGCACATGCTCTGAGCAGGAACATGATCAGTTGAAGCACATGCTCTGAGCAGGAACATGATCAGTTGAAGCACATGCTCTGAGCAGGAACATGATCAGTTGAAGCACATGCTCTGAGCAGGAACATGATCAGTTGAAACACATGCTCTGAGCAGGAACATGTTCAGTTGAAACATGCTCTGAGCAGGAACATGTTCAGTTGAAACATGCTCTGAGCAGGATCATGTTTAGTGAAAGCATGTGCTCTGAGCAGGAACATGATCAGTTGAAACATGCTCTGAGCAGGAACATGTTCAGTTGAAACATGCTCTGAGCAGGAACATGTTCAGTTGAAACATGCTCTGAGCAGGATCATGTTTAGTGAAAGCATGTGCTCTGAGCAGGAACATGTTCAGTTGAAACATGCTCTGAGCAGGAACATGTTCAGGTGAAGCACATGCTCTGAGCAGGATCATGTTTAGTGAAAGCATGTGCTCAGAACAGGAACATGTTCAGTTGATGCACAGTTCTGCTACACATTAGAAAATGAAAGACATGGCCAAAGGCAACACACCTCTACACAAACAATGACATTTACAAACATCTATGCAAGTGAAAATCTCATCACAAAATAAAATCCAAACAAACCAAAAGAACATTTCTCAAATCCCTTTCTATGATGTATCAACCTGCACTCCTGACAGAAGTCAATATATACATTAATAACAACCAATATATCCTACATATGAGCAGGGTTTCCATAGCCCCAGACCCTGGAACCAACGAGCCCCTTGGTACCACCTAACAACAAAGAGTGGGAAGCAGAGTGATTGAATGAATGCTACAATATTAGGTTTACCAAAACTGGCGCCAAGTTTCCATTTGGAGCAATTTCTTTCAAAGTATTTCGGCACAATGCTCAATTTAATTGTCTCTTTTTTTTCTGTTCTACACATAAAGTTAGTTCCAAACATTAGCTCTGGTTCTGCCATGCTGTGGGAATACCACTACCCTGTATGTTACAAGCCTGTGCACAAGCTGCCTACAACCAGGCCATTACAGTGTAGGATAATTGGTAAAAATAACAATAATTTACAAATTTGGCCTGTTGACTTCAAACATTATTATGGCCTAAAAAATAAATGTGGTTCAGATTACCCGACCGACCCTTGAATCCTGGCGCCGACCCTATTTTTTAATGCAGTATGAATAAAATAACCGTTCAGATACCGTTGTCTTTTCTCGACACCGACGGACATCAGTCATTCTGAGAAAGCTGACATGATCGCCGCAAGCTTGATTAAATAAACAATTACACATTGATAAATATGTTATTAGTTTGTACTTAATTTCTAAAAAAATGTGAAAAAACAAAAACCCTTTCCTACCTAGCTACCCTGAATCTTGAAGAGCTGTAATCGGAACCACAAATGTTTTTGATTTGGTCTATTTAAAAAAAATGTTCGAGTTGGATAATGCTTTGTTGTAAAATCTAAAGCAAAATCAAAATGATCCTTTTTTGTTTAAATATTGGAATGATATGATACATATTTCTTTCAGGAGGCTTTGAGCTAATATGTTCACAAATATTAGATGAAATAGACTGAATAGGTTTCTAAGTTTTTGATAATGGTCACTTTGAAACTGTTTCAGTGAGCCACAGTATGTTTCAGCAAGCTATCTGCAATCACCCTGAAGGGTCTCAGATCGAATTCTATGAATGACTAGCAAAACAAACCCTCCTAATTTGTGATTAAAGTATCAACAAGTCCACTTTAATCCATGAAATCATGTTTCTTCACCTGATTCCTCCACTTCAGACTAAATAGCCACATTTAATTGTTCCACTGTTGAACCACAAAATTGCCAATCATGTCAAGAACCTTTCAAATTCTTCTGTCAGAAAAATAATCGAACACGCCGCCAAGAAAAACTGACAAGGGAAACAAAACATCAGAATCTAGGTTTCCCCATCTGTGAAATAATTCAGGAAAAAACATGAATGCTTTTTGATCTGTGAACATTTTGATTTGGTCCTGACGATAAAAGTTTGACAAATCCATAAAGTCCATAGCAGTAGAACTGCACCAACACATCAATCAATGGTCTACAGGATTGATTCAATTTATCACTCAACTATTTCTCTGTGCCAGATCAACAAAATGCCTTTGGAAGGAAACTTGTTTGCTTTGTATATGGGTCTCTGTCATGGTGGAAACTCAACCTAAAGATGGCTCAACTTCAGCTTGTGGAGCTTTCAATCATTGCAAGGATTACTATCTAATCCGTCTGGCTTTATAGTTGTGACCAGTTTAGAGACTATCATGCACTTAAGGGAACACAAAAATCAGGTTTTGTGTGCAACCGGGAAATGAAAGCCTTCATTCTTTTAATAGAGTCATGGTGTTTTTAGGGATGGAAACTGGGAAACAACTTAATGCAGACATGCCAGACTTATGTTTCTTTTAATACTGACATGAAGACAAACAGGAAGACCAACAGTTACTCTCATCTTGATTTTGATATTTGGATTAGTTGCATTTTGAAATTTTGAGTGAAGACTGACTGACTGAGTATGGTTTTACGCCGTTTTTAGCAATATTCCAGCAATATCATGACGGGGGACACCAGAAATTGAGTGAAGAAAATGAGAGAGTGAGTTTTTTTTTATCAGTCACTGTCATGGCTGGCCTGTAAGAACAGCATCTGGCTCAGGCAAACCAGTGGTTCATAGCATGAGCAACAATGTCCGAATACATTGAGTCACATCACCACCTAATCCTAAAGTCCTCTTTGTACAATATAAGTTGTTCACTGATCTCGAGGGGGACATGGGTTGATGTACCCTCGATGTTTGTTTATGTTCCCTGAGCCCGAAGGGTACATTGAAATGTTACTCGCTTGTAAGCGGTGTACATTGAAAATAATAGAGGAGCGCTTTTCAATCAGAAAGCGACATTTATGTGTGAGGTAAGATAAATACAAATGAATAAGGTGTTCTTTAACATCATAAACAATAGTATGATACTATTTAATTACGTCTAAAAGGTACTCCCAAGCACCTGTTTTGAACAACAATTGTTGTCAGTTTCCTCTCAGGAATCAACTTCCATGAGTCAGGGATCACATTTTCATATGGCTTTTTGAAACATCCCATCATGGACACCAAACACTGGCTGTAATAAATGAACCATTTGGGGAATCAAACCCTTGTTTTTCTGTGTTGTAGGCAAACAACTAAAGTTACCCCACCACCATTTAAACCAAGACATCTTAACAAACTTAGGCTTATAATTAATCCTTGGTTTTCTTTCACCACTCTCCTACCTTAGTGCCACAAACATCCAAACAATTACACAGAATGCTCCCTACAAATCTCAAGGCCAACCATTGTGTGATAGATGATAGACCTTTGGTGAAGATATTCATATATGACACACAAAAGGAAAGAATCTTTGGGAAATTGTTTCCTGACATGCAGGTTTTTTATCAACCTTTCTTTAATTAAAGTATCAAAAGACCCAAAACCTCTTCACCTATGAGACTTCATAATCAATATGAATAGGACGCTTGCTGTGTGCCTAGCATTACAGAT